GAAACAAGGAAATAGCAATTTTGTTTATTCCTTCCTAAGTTAGGAATCCTACTACATTAAGGAATAGAAATCCCACTACAATAAGGAGTTGGAAAATTTTCTTTGAATTCTATTCAAACAAGGAGATAGCAATTTTGTTTATTTCTTCCTATGTTAGGAATCCTGCTACATTAATGAATAGTCAAGTCAATTCCCAGTAGGAAGTGTTAGAACTGATTTGTCTTTCCTGCATTGTGTTTCAATCAAATTTCCATTTTTTTTTCTTTTAATTCGTTCAGGTTTGTTTCTTTTATTGCTCTTCTTGTTGGTTCCTTCGTGTCTTTTCGTTTCCTTCAACTCTTGTTGCAGATTTGTTGGAATTAGATTGCTGCAAAATAACTTGAATTGAGCTTGTTTAGTTCAATAACGAACTGAAAGAGGAAGTTGAGTGAGGGAAAAAGGCAAGAGGTGTGAGCAACACTTGAGAGAAAAGCCAAGTTCTACAGTGTGTAAAACACGAGCGTTGAGTGCCATTTTGTGAGAAAGTGGAGTGAAACACGTAAGGGAGTGTTGTGAGGTCCTTTTTATTCTTCTGTTTCTAACATTTAATGCAGGTTTCAATCATGTCAAGCGGTGATGACAAATCAACCCCTAGAAGCCACCATGTGGATGAATCCTTCATGCTCAAAGCCATGCAACAACAATTTCAAAGGCTGGACATCATGTTTGGTGAGATTAAAGACAAAATGGAGAAGCAAGATGCAGCGATAGTCAAGTTATACCAAACACAAAATGGAAGTCCGAATTTGCGTAGGAATGACGCTAATGATTTGATGACGATTATAAAGATGCATTCAACAATGATGCCCAGAACTCAAATTTCAGCATGGACAAAATTATGAGAGGTAGAGAAGGCCAAAGAGAGCAAAATCTGACCAGGTGGGGAGATCGGCAAGATCGTGACTTAGTTAGCATCAAGATGAAGATTCCTCCATTTCAAGGCAAGAATGATCCAGATGTGTATTTGGAGTGGGAAAAGAAGGTGGAATTGGTGTTTGATTGCCATAACTATTCTGAGAAGAAAAATGTGAAACTAGCAGTGGTGGAATTTACTGATTACACTGTGGTGTGGTGGAATCAGAATGTGCTTAGTCGACGTAGAAATCGAGAGCATCCTGTTGACACTTAGGAAGAGATGAAGGCTGTGATGAGAAAACGATTTGTTCCTAGTCACTACTACCACGATCTCTATCAACAATTACAGGGCCTTACTCAAGGGTCCAGAAGCGTTGAGGATTATCACAAGGAGATGGAAATCACAATGGTTAGAGTGAATGTCGAAGAGGATAGAGAAGCAACAATGGCATGGTTTCTGCATGGTTTAAATCGTGATATAGATTATGTGGTGGAACTGTAGCATTATGTTGAATTAGAGGATATGGTGCACATGGCAATGAAAGTAGAAAGGCAACTCAAGTGTAAAGGTGCCACCACCAGAACTGGGCAAAATCCAGGTTCCTCATTTTCTTCGAAACCAAATTGGAGCAAAAAGGAAGAAATTTCTGCTTTTAAGCCTAAAACTTCAGCATCTAAGTCAAAAGACGTTGGCAGCAGTGAGAAGAGTAAAACTGACAGTATGCAAGGCAGAAACCGAGACATTACATGTTTTTGATGCTTGGGAAGAAGGCATATTGCATCACAATGTTCTAATAAGCACACGATGATCTTGAAAGAGGATGGAGAAATTGAAACAGAGGGTGAATTTGATGATGACTCTATGCCACCATTGGAAGATGCTGATGATGATGGCATGGAATATGCTGTTGATGGGAACTGCTTGTCACCAGGCGTGCGTTGAATGTGCAAGCCAAAGAAGATGATGAAGTACAATGCGACAACTTATTTCACACGAGGTGCCATATCAAAAATAAGGTATGTAGTGTGATTATTGATGGTGGCAGTTGTACTAATGTAGCTAGCACTGTTTTGGTTAAAAAGCTTAATTTACCGATGATGAAGCATCCAAGGCCATATAAGCTGCAATGGTTAAATGATTGTGGAGAAATTAAGGTAAATAAGCAAGTTCTGGTTTCATTCTCTATCGGACGATATAAGGATGAGGCACTGTGCGACGTGGTTCCCATGCACGCTGGACATTTACTTTTGGGGAGACCATGGGAATATGATAGGAGAGTAACACATGATGGCTTCAAAAATCACTATTTGTTCATCATGGAAGGGAAAACAATTACTTTTGTGCCGTTGAGTCCAAGGCAGGTTTATGAGGATCAACTGAGACTGAAAAAAGAGAGCAAGCTGAGAAAAGAGAGTGAGCTTGAGGGTATGAAAAACAGAGAGAAAACAGCAGAGGAAGAGTTAAAAAAGAGAGAAAAGATCGAGAGTGTTGAAAACAAAGAGAGAAAATCAGTGAGTGTTTCTACAAAAGAAAGTAATGTCAAGGTTGCGTTCTTTGCAAAGCAGCCTATGTTTGTGCTTCTATATAAAGATGCTTATTTCAACACTAATGAACCTAATGATTTTTTGCCTAGTGCTGTTAAATCTCTTTTGCAGTACTTCAAGGATGTGTTTTCAGATGACGTTCCTAATGGTTTACCACCAATAAGAGGAATCGAGCATCAAATTGACTTCATTCTTGGTGCAGCAATTCCAAACCGACCAGCATAT